TAGATTATTATAATGCCAATGAATTGCAACTTTGTTCATTACTCGTCTTTGTTCAGAGACGAAGTTAATGGACGCCTTATGTTTGGGAGACAAGATGGCAAGTCCCTATCGTATAACCATTCCCTCAGCACCCTGCTCACCATAATATTAATATCTAACTCCTCATGTACGATACCTCCCTCCAATTCCTCCTCCTCCTCCTCCTCCTCCTCCTCCTCCTCCTCCTCCTCCTCCTCTTCCTCCTCCTCATCTTCCAATTCCTCCTCCTCCTCCTCCTCCTCCTCCTCCTCCTCCTTTTCTCTCCAATTCCTCCTCCTCCTCCTACTCCTCCTCTCTCTCTCTCTCTCTCTCTCCCCTCTCTCTCCCCCTCTCTCTCTCCCTCTCACCCTCCCTCTCTCACTCGCTCTTCCACTAGACTGTAAGCTATCCATCAAAAGCACCTAGATAAAACTGGCAGCATACTTGACTAAAACACTACAATTCCCGTGATTGGAAAATGCCTGTCTCTCTATCCACACAGTTCGGGAGTGTCTTGGTAGGTAACGTTAGCGGCAGATGTTCTGGTGTAAAATTATGTCATTGGTGCTTTAAGAATAATATTTGCAGCAAATCATATATTCTCTCTTCATGCATACCAGGCGCGGTTCGTCCATATACCACAGTCGTGCAGTGCCGCCCAAAATGTTTTAATGTTCTATTACGTAAAGCACTCACAATAATAAAATAAAAGACACCAGAAACAAACACTAGCCAAATATTATATCAAAACAAGGTCCTTGCTGGTGCCGTAACTGTCGTTTCTGTGTCTATAGCGCCGTAAAACATCTACTATGCCATGCCAAAGCTCATGCGCTGTATCTAAACACCACAGGATATTCAGCAGTGGGAAACCTGACCTATAAATCGCTCTTTAAGATAACCCAAGCGATGACGACACTCGTAGAGAGTTTGGCGGTACCTTAATATTAATAAGACGACACATCTCAAATGTGCTCCTGCCGAATAGCGCCGAAACATAGCCCACAGTAGGCAATCTAAAAATAAACGTGATAGACTGCACTATTCTATGCCAAAATTATGTGAGCCCCGGAGCAATCCAGCGAAGTGCTCAAGTGAATTGTGATTGGTTCTTGCTGCTAGTTTAAGTGACTCTGTGACCGTGAACCTGAGGGAGGTGAACGTGACATACTTAAGTCGCCGTCCTATGAGTTGTGCTTTTGAAGTGAAGTGGTGAAAGGTATTACCTGAGAGTTCAGTTCTAATGCAGGATGAATGGAATTGACGTTTAGTTAACAAACAGATTTAGTTCTAGAAGCCACAATAAAAAGAAAAAAGAAAAGCACGATGTCCTCCTTCACAAACCCACAGATCCTAAAAGTATACACCATCTCAATTATTATACCCCTGACTATCTCCAACCTGCGATAGCGTAATTGTGCACGTCCACTTTTTAGCCCCACGAGCGCTCCTGATGCATACCTAAGGTGACATGGTCAATGTTACAGACAAATTTTATGAACGTAGACGGCGACTGTTTTGCTTGAGCAGAAAACTCAAGGTTAGACCAAGCAAACGGTACAGTTTGCGCTCTTGAATTGCCCCCACATTGTACCGTGTATCAACATGGTTTTTGTAAGGGGTTTAACGCCCCTATAAACATGGTATAAAGTTATTTAAGAGGCGTGACCTTCGAATGCAACACCCTTTTATGATAGCGCTAAGCCAAAAGGAGGCAGAGGTAGAATCCTGAAAACTCCTTAAAAACAAACTCATTCGTGTGCCGTCAAAGATTCAATAGTGGGCCACCTGCCCACATTAAACATTATATAAACTGATCTTCGTTTACGAGCTGAAAAGTGACAAAAGAGACATAAAACAACTACAAGAAACAAACTTTTTCGTTTCAATTTTTAAAAATTTTCTTCCCTCCTTTTTCGTTTCTTCCACAATATCATTTTCCACTTTTCTCCTCCGTCTCTCTATGAAAGAAAGGCCCCCTTCACTGTCACATACCAAGCAATGCGAATAATGTAGGTATGAAAACATTAATATTCTGTTTTGTTTCTTCCGACACCGAGTCCCCATTCCTCTACACGGGTCTTCCGTCATTGTCCTCGCGATCTCCAGCCATGTTCGCCCTCAGCCCGGACCACGCGTCAGCTGACCCGTTAGTACAGTGATGTATGGCCTGTGTCGATCGTACGACCTGAGCAATAGCCAGGCCCGAGGTAGGTCACTTCAGGTGGGATGCTTCTCCCTTCTGTCCCCCCCCCCCTC